AAATAATGGCAACATAGACAGGTCAACCGACGCTGTTTTGTATGTCTAAAGAGAGTAATTTGTAAGCAAATGCAATTTAACATTAATATATTTATGAGCCATTGAATTTGGTAACATTTAATAATATTTAAAAATAGAACAATGCTATTGAATTTGATTAGCACACCACCACTCGAAATGACATTTTCCCGGGGAAAACTTGAATAACATATAAATGGAACCGTGTTTGAATTAAAGGTTCATATGAAGATGATCTAGGAATCTTTTATCCACATTTTCAACCATTTTGAACTTGTAAGGGTACTTGCCTTTCTTCTCCAACTTGGCTACTTTTACCAGATGCTTCAAACATTTCCCATGTGCTTCGGATATGATTACTGGATTATTCTCTCTGAATAGTGGTATCAATCGCCTTGACAACAAATTCTCCATCTGCTTGTCTGCAAATCCTTCTAGTTTCACAACCTTAAGACCATTGATATTTGCAGGAGCACTGACTATGGCTGAGAATTTTTCACTTCTACTGCTAATCAAGTTATAGCATTTAGGATCAATCTGCAAGTTTTGATCAATCATCGAGATTATTTTTCTTACAAGCTGTCTATACTCCATATCAGATACATCCGAGTCTAGATAACATAGCTGCTTGGCATTCGTTGATGGAAATAAATTTATCTTGTCGACAGACGACAGTCAGTCGTTCATCCCTTCTGATTTTAGTGGAGAGCTGCGGCCGGTGAGAAAACCTCACGAGTATTATAAAAAATGCAAAGTAGATCAAGGAAATGGGGAGACTTACAGTGACATAAAGTCTTTCCAAGTTGGGACAAAGCTTCAGAAAGCAAAGTAAAGCATTGATATTGTGTCTGGCCATCGAACAATCAATCCACCACAGCTCTTTTAGTCGGCTGAAATACAATTCAGGGCCTCCACTTGAACTATATAAACTCTTGCACATCGTTTGCTATAGAAAAATGAAAGCACACAATAAACAAGTTTAGAAGAAAAATAAACCTCATTAAAAAATATTGAACATTTCTTTCACTCAGCATACCTCAAAGAACCACCTGCATAATGTTAGAGACTTAACACCATTTATGCTTCTCAAAATCAATTCGAAGCATTTATGCTTGTTGTCGCGGCTGCATCGGTCGCTTCCGTATGAACCGTGATGAGGACGAACTGTTGTTTTGAAGTCCCAAGTCCATTGTGTTAGAGGACCTTGTCTGAGATCAACCATGGCGTCTTCCAGGTATAATCCACAGTCACAGGTAGAATATATGTCAGCGTAATAGCATCTGCAGCATGCTTTGAACCGAAAGGACACTAAGTCGCCTCTGTATCGGAAACACTGTAAACGGGGACCCTGAAAACTTAGAGATTGTAATTGGGGGCAGTCCAGGACAATTAGCTTTTGAAGAACACCAGCATCATCTACAATTAAGGATTCAACTCCTTTACACCTTTCAATGATCAAGCTCTCAAGAAAAGGAAGATTGGAGGCCAAGCAAGTGAGTGCTTTGCTGGAGAGCTGGCTGACTGATATTAGATAAAGGGTTTTTATTCTGAACTGGTGAGAAAAGGGCAACGGGGGGTTTAACTCCATTATCTTGTCGTCTTGATTATAGGGCGATGGCCACTCGCAACGCCATGGAAGACTCAAAGGCAAATACCAATCAAATGAAGCTGGAAATTCTTGTTCACCGGCTGAGAAATCAAGATGGAGTGTTCTATCAGGTGTGATTGAAACTAAGAGAAGTGCACCTTGGCCAAGGTTGAATTGTAATCCCCAGTTGTTTGTTGGTCGATTGGGTTCATGGAAATCATAAAGAAGATTGAATGCAGCAACAACAGCGTCTTCCATGGTTCTTTCAAGTACCAGAGTCTTTCTCCAGAGGCCTTTCCATCGTCTTGAAAGGAAAGTGGTGTGGACAGCAGATTCAAAAGGGAGGAAGCTAATGATATGGAAAAGGATGTCATCAGGGAAACAACTGATGACATCTTTACGTTCAATGTTCCTGTTATTTAGAAAGGAAAAAAAACAGATTTATTTAATAGGGAATCACCGACAGAGAGTAAAATTGGGTGGTTGATCATATATATGAACAAAATTAACATTGAAGGGAAAATACAAACAGTTGTTCCATTGCAGCATTTCTGGGAGTGTCCTGTTTTGGCCTTGGATTCTTGTTGATCTTGCTTTTCTTCCCCATGTTTTCTTCGGAGGTTTCTAAAATTAAAGCATTTTGAATTACATATGTGGGGTTTAGCTTGAATTTTGCTGCAGATGTTAGTTGCCTGTTAAAACATATATATAATATATGGGTCTGACACCGAACTTTCAGCTAAAGAACACAACAAACTAATATGTATAGTAAACGTAGAGCATTGGCTTTTCAACAACTTAGAATGTAAGTAATGGTAGTTGACTTTCGTATATTATATATATATAGGTTTATTCTAGGCTTTTTAGCCGGAATATAACCATTAAAATTAGATTAAACTATACATGTTACCACTTAACTATTGCCATTTTCACTTTAACTATCAATCTTTCAATTTTGTCAATAAAATCACTTAACCGTTTTTTTGTATAACTACCGATTTCCGATTTATTGATCGACTAATTTGGATCGAGTACAATAAAGGAAAGGGCGATCCTCCCAACCTAGTTTACTCCATTAGCAAACATCAAAATTCGAACCCCTAACATTTGCTTAAAGAAACTAATGCCTCATCTTACTAGACCAATTGATTGTTGGTAAATCACTTAATTATAAGTATTCCAATCAAGCCTCCAACTATAATAGAGAAGCTAATGTAGCTGTTAAAATAATATAATTACACATTTAGTCCTTAATACTTACACGTTTTATCGAATTGATCCTAATTTTATTTTAATTCAATGATTTTAATTTTAAAATTGATCCTTAATATTTACACATTCAATGGTTGTGTAAATTGGTCTTTAATACTTACACATTCAATGGTTGTGTAAATTGATATCAATACTAAGTACTAACACATTCGACGGTTGTGATATCATCTGATTAGATAATCAAATTTATTGAATTAAATTTTAGAACCGAATTGATAAAATATGTAAATATTAAGGATTAAATGTATAATTATATTAATTTTTTTATATTCATACCAGTTTCTCCATTAAATTTGAGCGACGGGTGCCTTCATTGGAACACTTAAATAATTAAGTGATTTGATTGATAAAATTGAAAGATGGGTAGTCAAAGTAAAAATAGGCAATAGTTAAGTGGTTATATATATAGTTTACCCTAAAATGTAATGAGTAAAATGCACAAATAACTAGTAACCTATGCTGAAATGTTTTTTTGGTCATTTAACTTTTAAAAGTCATAACATAATCATTAAATTTGGTTACAAGAGGATCATTCAACTGCATACTTACCATGTACATTTATTCCCATTCTCTTTGCAATTTATATTTACTTGTAACGATGGTTAGAGAGATCTAATCAAGAAGTCATTTTACTTCATGAAATTTAATTTACATATCTTTATGATGATAGTAAACGATGCCATGAAAAAATATCTTCATTCTAGAGATTTTTAATCTAAATTTTTTAAAACAAATTTATATTGATAACGTGTTGTAAAATAAGCATGGTTTTCATAACCGGACCGGTCAGCGAACCGGCCGTGCTATCGGTTCACTGGTTCAACCGGACGACGTTATAATTAATTAATTATTTAAAAAATTAAATAAAAATATAAAAAATAATTTAATAAAAAATAATTTTTTATATCACAAGTCATATTCAAAACAAGTTATAACATATATAAGTTAAAAATCATAAAATTAAGTGAAACAAAATGATTCAAATCAACTACAACATAATATTTAAGGTAAAACATATTAAATAATAAATATAATTATATAACTATAATCAAAAAATAAATTTGGGGCTAAAAAAATTATAACAAACGATGTCGTTTGGTTTAATTTTTTAAAAAAAAAATCTCACATGGCTAAAAAACATAGAAGAGCATCACAAAAGTCTAAAGAGTAAAAATATGAAAACAAAACAGTCCCACATGACTAAGAAACATAGAAGAGCATCTCAACTGACTTCTATAAATAATAGAGGTAATTTGACATTTAAAATCATGGAGCCTTTTGGTGTGCACAGAGCGAACCATTCTTTCGCGTGTGCACAGAGCGAACCATTCTTTCGCGTGTGCACAGAGCGAACCATTCTTTCGCTTCAATCGAGCTTCTAATTTTTTTTTGAGCTCGAGCATTTTTAAGTTCAAGTTTCAATATTATATTTCAAGTTCGAGTTAAACTTGATAATTTTTAGCTCGTTTAACAAACGACGTCGTTTGATTTAATTTTTTTTAAGAAAAAAAATAGAACCAGTTTTCAACCGGTTCACGGTCCGATTCAACGGTTCACAGCCAGTTCAACGGTCCCTTCCGATTCACTAGTAGCGGTTTAACCGGTATAGAATGAATCAGATCAGACAGTGATTCTCGGTTGAACTGGTTGAACCAACCGGTTCGATCCGATTTTCAAAACACTGAAAATAAGTGGAATGAAGTAATAATAAGAACAAGAAGAAGAGATACGAGAATAAGAATTGAAATTTGTATTATCATTTCAATCTAAGTTGTAGAAAATGTTTTCTCTAAATTCCATATTTATAGACATAAATAATAAATACCATATAGAACTCTAAATCTAGTAAATATTAAAATATTAATAAAATATATCAAAAACTTATCTTATAAATAAAAATAAACATCCACACATAAATAAAATATTCATAATACATATCATAAAAAAATAATAACAATATCTTTTAAACAAAAACGTCACAAGATGTAGAGTAAGTAACGGTGTAGTTTCCCATGAAATTGCAATCCAAATTTTAGGATATTATAAATTTTAGAAAGACTTTGGGATTGTCCCTTCTTCAATAAAGTTCAAGTTCCTTTCGCCTAATATAGTCAATTAAGAGATCTGAAAAATATTGAAAAACAAAATGGGAAAAAAGAGTAGGAGCAAGAGAAAAAAGCAAGAGAAACAGAGGAATGATCCAGTTGATAATAATAACCCAGCAAACAACACTTCAATTTCTAGGTAACAACTCTTACTTAATTACTATATTTTCTTCTAATGTTCTTTCAGTATTTTTTTTATCAATCTTGTTTTGTAGTTGATCTTTGCTATTTGGATATCTTTAGTTTAAACACCGGTGTTTCTCACCAAATTGTTCCGACGTTTATCTATATACGGAGGAAGCATGATCAAGAGAAAGTGTATAATCATGTCAATAACCCCAAAATCCCAGCTAAGTAAGAATCTGTATATATTTTTACTTTGGGGTTTTGTTGTTTGTTATGATCAAACGAGTTTTGTGTTTTGAAATTTGTTGTTTCTTCTTCTTTGGAACAGTTATAATATGGACCCTAATGACTTCATCAGTCGTTTACCAGACAATATCCTTCACCACATCATTTCGTTGCTGCCTTTTGAATCCGCAGTCCGAACTTGTTTTCTTTCAACACACTGGAAACACCTTTGGAGAGAGGCTTTGTTGGATTCAGTCCATGATGTAATCACAATGGAAACTGCCATTAAAGCCATTCAAAGCTTTCTTAATGGTTTTTACGAGCACCACAGGTCAAGAAATAAGTGGGGTTTCGAATTCGAGTTCAGCCACGGAAGAGCCATCTTAGTTGCTTGCATTTCCAGCAATGGTGCACTTCAACTTGATTTCTCAGAGGGTAAACAAGAACTCCCTAGGCCATTTGATTTGCTCTTGGAGCTGAACCTTGCATCACCTAAATATGGAAATCTTTGGTGGCTTGAGGAAAATTACCCATTGCGAACCCAACAACCGTCTTTAAACACAATGAAAGTAGAATCTTTGTATCTCATATCAGTAAGCTACCTTTCTAGTACGGCAGTTTCTTCTTTGGTGCCAAATTTGCCATTTCTCAAAAGCTTGACTATCTCCAAATGCAATGGATTACAATCTTTAGAGATAAAAGAGTCCAAAGGGCTTCGTAAATTAGTTGTCCTCGATTGCCCCCATTTACAATCTCTCACTTTTGAAGGTTTCCGTTTGAAGTCTTTCAGGTACAGAGGCAACTTAGTGTCCTTTCATTTTAGAGTCTCCAGTGTATATAATTATGTTAGCCCATTTGGTACGTATCACTGGGGGCTATTCATGGAAGACGCCATGTTTGATCTTAGACAAGGTCCTCTGACACAATGGACATGGGACATCCCTCTCTTTTCTCCTTATTATTACGGTCTCTTTAATGAAAGAAACCGCTGCAGCTGTGCTAACAAGTCTAAATGCTTCAACTCAATTTTGAGAAGCATTAAGGTGGTTGAATCTCTAACAATGTGCAGATGGTTTTACGAGGTATGTTCATTAGTTAATCCATTGAGACTCAGTTATGTTTGAACTTGTGTATGAAATCGGATTCAAGTCCTTTAAATATCATATCCTTCTGTTCTGATCTGTTTAGATGTCGATATGCAAGATGTTGATCTGTTCAAGTGGAGGCCCTGAATATCGTTTGAGCAAACTAAAAGAGCTTTGGTGGATTGATTGTTCAATGGAAAGAGAATCTATCAATGCCTTACTTTGCTTTCTAAAGCTTTGCCCTTACTTGGAAAGACTCTATGTGACTGTAAGTCTCCCCATTTTCTTGATGTTACTTTGAACATTTTATGGATTATACCGACACTCATATCCTAAATACAATGATTAATGCTCAAATTTACACTTGAAATATCTTAGTATGTGTTTGCTTATCAAACTTGTAGATTGATCCTAAAGGCTATAAGTTGCCCAGTACTGAGAAATTCTCAGCTTTAGTCATTGTTCCTGATAAGCTCGAGGATCTTCAAGCCGTGAAACTAGAAGGATTTGCAGATGAAGAAAAGGAGATTTTAATGGCGAGGCGATTGATACCATTATTCGGAGAGAAGAATCCAGTCATCATGTCAAAACCACAAGGTAAGCGTTTGAAGCATCTAGTGAAAGTAGCCACGCTGGAGAAGAAGGGCAGGTATCCGTACAAGTTCAAAGTGGTTGAAAATGTTGATGACAATTTTCCAGATCATGTTCATATGAACTTTTAATTTAAAGGCTTTCTCAGTTATGTTTGAATCCTGTTGCTGTTGAAGAATTTTCCAGGAAAAGGTCATGGTTTTCGGATAGTGATTCATAACTCGTTTCACTTTGGTTTATACGTGTGCTCATATGTAATCTTAACAATTGACTCAACTTCTTGTGCTATAGTTTTGGCTGAGATTCCTATAAAAGAAAAACCCTTCTTGCTTATATCCATAACTAGCAGCAGTTTTCCGTCGGAACAAATTTATTTATCTATATTTTAGTTTTTACGATTAATCAATTATGATCAATAAATATAAATGTTTTCTTTATTGATTCTGTTCATCTTAATTTAGTTGACATCATTGATAGTGTAATAATTATGAGATCGTGGGTTTGAAACTTCCTAAATCCTCAATTATCTCTCCTATCTTTTCTTTTGGGTAAACTACAATCCAGATCCCTCAATTATTAGGTCAGTTACAAACATATCATGATTTTTTATACAAATTATAATCTACTTAATTAAAATATTATTACAAATAGGTCATTACACCGTTATAATTGAAATTGAACCGTCCATATTTTAATCAATTAGATTATTGAAACGCACCGAATTATCTCTCCTATCTAAGACATGTCGTAAGCTCAAATTAAGTGTAGTCAAAATTGAATTTATATTTATGTTTATAAGAAATTGTAATTTTAATTTATGCAAGTATTATGTATAAAATGTCTAAATTATAATTTTGATTATTAAATGTTTCGTATTAATACGTGAAATGCAAAATCTTTGTGAAATTATGCTCATTGCTATGTCAGATATGAAAATTTGAACTAATTAATAATGAGTTGTATTATAATATGATTATGTAAACCATAATTTTTAAAACTTTGGTAATGATATAAAATTAGTCATTGGTAGTTTCATATGTAATTGGCATACATGTATAAAATAAGTTTTGTAGGAATACTGACAAAATGATTTGAGATAATCTGAATTTTAGTATAAATATTAAATTTTAAAATACACATATTTGTACTCTTTATAATCTCTATATTTATAACTACTATAAAAAATATATATATATATTAACATTAAATATTATATCTTGTATATAATCTATTTTACATTAATTTCGCTTTAATTACTTTTTTTCCTCCCAATTTTCTTACATCGATATTGTTCTATTAGTAGCTCTAAGAAAATCACCCCTAGCAAATAAAAAAAGAACACAATTGAAGTTTGCAATTGAAAATGACTTGGACAACGCAATAACCGAAGGTGATGCGATCTCTATTGTCAATACACTGGCCAAACGTCAGGAAGATCTCTCAACCATAGAGTTGATGCTAAACGAGGCTCAGGCAATTCTTGTCAACAATAGTGATCTTAAAGTGAGGTATGTCAACAAAGAAGCTAATAGAGTCGTACATTTTGTAGCACAATAGGCTCTGTCGAAACCCATTCCTCATTGATTCTATTATAACGAACCCAATTACATCATAAAAAACGATGTAATCAATGACGCAATTAGAATCTAATGGAATTCTTACTTAGAAAAAAACACAATAAAAGTAAAATCTAATTTAATCTAAAAATAAAGAAAATAAAAGGTGGGTCCTAAAATCTAAAAGACTTCAAAAGCCGTTACGGTTTACAATACATACGTGTGAAATGAAAAGCCACCTGACCTCTTTCTCAACGGATAACAATCCAAACCTAAACAAATCTCAACCACAAAATGCTTCAATGAAGAATTCTACATTGTTTCTCATAATTTTTTCTGTTTTTCTGGCTGCCCGTTTAGTAGTTCATATGAACTAAAGCAAGGATTATAAAAACAATGGCAGCTTTGCAGAACTCTATGCCTTCTCTTCATCATACATTGTTCGTCAATCCCTTTCCCCAGGTTTCTTTTCTTATCAACATTATCGATCGTTTTTAAGCTTTGGTCTTTTTTATTTCCCTTCAATTTCATATTTTGGTTGGATTTTAAATGGGGGAGTTTTGCCTGCTTTATTGGTTAAACAGAAAGGATTGCAGAAGCTTTCACATGGTGCATTTCTTTGCTGTAAAACAAGTGTTTCTCTTCATGTCCGGGCTGAACATTTATCATCTTCTGCTGCTGCTTCTTCTACCTCTTCTCATTTTCAAGGTCAATTTTAATTTCTTTTTCTTAATTTAGTAATTCTAGATTTTGGTAAGGTGATTCATAGCTAACGTATAGAGGTATTTGTGGAGGTTTTATTAAGCACTTCTTTTCTCTATATATCAATGCTTATATTGTAAACTTCTTTTTTTAATTTTAAATTTGCAGAGAGTTGTGGGAGACGCCAAATAATTGCTGCTGGAATAATTGCTCCTTTGGTTTCAATTGCTGACAGAACCCCTACTGCTTGTATGTATATTGTTTGAAGTATTGAAATTGAAACTATATTTGGCAATCTGTGTATTTATGTTTTGTTTGTACATTTTTATGCGTCACAAATGACAATCTCATTCAAGAATTTATAGATTTATATAAATTTTGATGTGCTGGTAATATATGTTCAGTACATATTCTCATGTTCATGTATTTGTATCATGTTAGTTTTATTGTCTAGTCAAACCTACTTGAAATCATTTCAAAATGCATGCTATTATCAGGGTTTTAAATAGCGGTCCGCGAAATAGCGGTAGCGCTGCCTTCCGATATACCAGCTATGGCCGCAATCGTGGTAAATGCGACATGACCGAAAACGCGACCGCAAACGTGATTTGAATCCCTGCTATTATGCTATATGATGATTCTTTGAATAAAATTTACTGATTTGCTAAGAGGACACATTTATATGGTTCAGTTGCTGCAGAAACTAAAAAAGGATTTCTTCCAGTCACAGACAAGAAAGATGGATACACATTTCTCTATCCATTTGGGTGGCAGGTAAACTTTGTGCATGTAATTACCAATGTTTCTCGGATTCGAAATTAGCATATACTTCTGTTATATCTTATTCAGAGGAACATAGTAAATTTTCTGATTTGATTTATTGGGAAGTAGAATTAATTAGTCTCACTTCCAAGTGTGCAGGAAGTAGTAATTGAAGGTCAAGACAAGGTATTCAAAGATGTTATTGAGCCATTAGAAAGTGTGAGTGTTAATATGAATATATGATACCAACCAACAAACAAGACATTCGAGATTTCGGATCTCCACAATAGGTTTGCTGTGGATTCTTTATATTATATACATCATATATAATCAGAACACCAAAAAAAAGGAAGAAATGAGATCGTTGTTCTCGTAATAAATTCTCACAGGTTGCTGAGATTCTAATCAATAAATTTTTGGCGCCTCCAACTCAGAAAACATAGTTCAGGCAGCAGAGGTTTGGTTTCCAGAATTTTATTGTTTGATGCAAATACATTTGGTACCCTTTTTTTATTGTAATTCCTTTATTATTTTCAACTATGTTGCTCCAACTTTTCATTCTCTTTAAAGTATTCGTGTTGGGCACCTGCATCTAACATATATTTGGATGTAAATAAGAAGAGGTATGACCCTCCAAGATTCCTTCAAATATGAGAAAAGGCATTCTATGATTAAGTGTTATATATTTACCTCGAATGAAATCGTACTTCTGTTTTCCCCTGACAACTTTATCAACTAGTTTCCTTCTCTTAATATTTCAGTGGATTTTGTTATTATACATTGTTTGTACATGAATGTATATTTGTCTATCATATTAAGAGTCTATGGAGGTTTAGCCATCCATTTATTTGTGTTGTATTCATGTTATTTTCACATCTTATAATCTTGTTTAAAGTGATGCGTTTATATAAACCGACACTTAATAGTTCATGGCATATAGATTTTAATGGATTGATGTATTCACGTTGTGTTTTAGTTATTTTCCCTACTCTATTTTTCTTGAAATACTCATTTCCAACACCTGTACTGAACATTAAGTTGAGCATTCCAGTGTCGGACACATACCTGTATCTGAGAGTTTCTTCACACCCTAGTCCTAACATAACATAGATCCTAATCATATAGATATTATTTTCTTGTTTGACAAGCTTTTAGAATTTGTAAGTAAACATTATGGATTGATATGTAGTGTTTTGTACATATCTAACAGCATGATGTAGATGGAAAAGCTTATTATACATTTGAGTTTATCACTCAGCCTCCAAACTTCACTCGACATGCTCTCACTGCAGTTTCTATTGGAAATGGTACTTATGTGCATGGTTATATACTATGTTTATTGCATCTGTAAATTGTTTTTCCAATTTATTAGTTTCCATCCGGATATTATAGCTGATACTTGGCAAGTTTGGAGTTTGGATCTCAGCATTTGCAATTCATCCTAGAGCCTTTGATGAAACAATAGGAAAAATGAAAAAGAACCAAATTCTGGAGTTTGAATCCCATCATTTTCATATATTTGTTCATTCCATCATATTCCTATGAATCTACCAATTGCATAACATCGTGGAGTGTTGTTTTATCAGGTAAATTCTACACTCTGACAACAGGAGCAAATGAGAGAAGATGGGATAAAATGAAAGATAGATTGGTGACTGTGGTGGACTTCTTTAAGATATTCAATGTTTGAAAGAACGTAGTTGTACAAAAACTTTAATCATATTCATTTTAGGAAGAACAACATATAATATACTTCTTGATGGAGCGCACTGTGCATTTTTCCGGAATTGTATAAAGTCCCAATTCAATCTTTTCTTTTCTTCCCCAACTTGTTTATCATCCAAGTGTATTATTATGGAAAGACTCTTCACATGTATGGTTTAAGTCTACGAAAATATATTAAAATATCCAAATAGAAGAGATTATGGCAATATGTTTATATTTGCAAATTTAGTATCTTAAATAGAAGAGATTATGAGTACCCGTGAATGTAACATGTTTACTGATTGTATAAACAAGCTTTCAGGTCCTGTTGCGCCTTAAATCATGTTCATTGAACTCTTAGATCAGGATATCTTTGGTCCCCCTTATTATAAACGTATTCCTACTTAATTTTATGGCTTAGACTTCTCTTTATTAAAAAAAATTATTCAAATTTAGATAATAAATATCCAAACATATCGACATAAGTTCATTGCATATTATAATTAAAATATTATTAAAATTCACATTATTAAAAATTTAGAAAAGCACATCAGATATTCACAAATATTCATATATACTGGCTAACATTTCTCTATCCTTTTTATAATTTAAATTGTCACGATTGTATTTAAATATTTTATATTTATATTAATATGATACATTAGAGATTTATGTTAGATAAATTTTAGATATTCATATATATCTTATGGTATATGTGTTATTTTCACTTATTATATTATATTTTATATTATGTTTGTATTAAAATTTTATTACCCCCCACCTACTAGTGTCTCTCTGTCTAAATCAGAAGGGATAGATCACAAATCGTCAGCTTCGTCACTTCATTTTTCACCGTGTTGACCATCGTAAACTATCATCTCACTTGTTGTACATCAACAAACTAATATTTTTTTAACTAGAAACTACAATAAATATATACTTTAGGTATCAAAATATAATAAAAATTTAGATACTAAAGTGAGACAATTTTCATATTGTAGGGGCCAAATCTTTAAGTCTAATTTTCTTGTGGGCAAGAATGCTGTTAAATCAGGCCTTATCTAGAATACATTGCAATTGAGTAAAGGGTACAAAGAAACTTGTAAAAAAAAAAGAGTAAACTATTCTATTCTTTTCTTAGATATGAGAGTTGGAAAAAAGGAGTTTGTATGGATATCGTTTGTTCGTTTTCATGTTATCCATCACTCCCAATCATTCTTTACTTTAAACCGAAGCAATTAGGACATATTTTTTACAAATAAATTTTGCTATTTACGTTACGTTGCATTGGGATCGCTATATAAGCTGATGTATTCTACAACTCCCCAAAATTCAGCATCGTTTCCAATACTACGATATAATCTCTTCTTGAAACTTACAAGATTTCTTCAATTGATTCCCCCTCATGGATACCAGCATTGATCCAAGGTTGATAGAAGCTGCTCAAACAGGAAATATTGATGCCTTGTACGCTCTAATTCAACAAGATGGTCGCATTTTGGAGCACATTGAACACATTCCATTTGTTGAGACTCCACTTCATGTAGCAGCAAACCAAGGGCAAATCAGTTTTGCATTGGAGATGATGAACTTGATGCCTTCGTTTGCCAAGAAGCTAAACCAAGATGGGTTTAGCCCCATGCACTTGGCTGTGAGAAACAGGCAGACCGAGCTAGTGCTTCGATTTTTGAAGACCGATAAAGATCTGGTACGTGTCAAGGGGAGAGAAAAGATGACTCCTTTCCATTGTGCAGTTTCAATGGGATACTCAATCGTTTTAGCCAAGTTTCTTGAAGCTTGCCCAGAATGCATAGAAGATATGACGGTTCGAGACGAGACCGCGTTGCATCTTGCCCTGAAAAATGACCAGATTGAAGCTTTTACTCTCCTACTTGCATGGCTTCAAAAGAGCCTATATGCTAATCTCTTTACCATTGAAAGAAAATTGGTGAATTGGAAAGACATTGATAACAACACTGTATTGCACATAGCAGCCATAAAGGAACAACATGAGGTAATATGCAATTATATTCTTTACATATTTGATGAGTTGCATTCCCTTTAAAACTTATTAATGGCTGTTCAGTATTAATGATGCAGGCAATAAAAATGCTGTTAGATGCCCAGGTTTGGTTAGCTGTAAGAGATACGAACTCGGAAGGTTTGACAGCTCTAGAAATCATACAAAAGGTTGAAGGACAAGGCATGAACATCAACATGAGTGGCAAAAATGAAGCCGATATTAAGGATCTGAAAGTGAATGTTAAGATTTCCCATCTAATGAAAGCAAGGATAGCAGGAACCCGTGCGAAGAACAGTTTGTCGATCGACATGATCAACACAATGCTGGTGATTATGGCGTTGGTTATAACAGCAACCTACCAATCAGCGTTAAGCCCACCTGGAGGTGTTTGGCAAGACGAGGGCGGCAATTCATCCACCACCAATGTCGCTTCAGGCATCAGTACTACGAATCACTTCTTCCCTGACTACACTAAACACGTTCCCTTCCTCAAGGAATCAAGAAAAATCGGTACATCGATCGTGAATCCACTGTGTTATGCTTTGTTTTGGGTTTTGAACTTTTTCCTCCTTTGGTCTTCGATTCAATTTACTGCATTCCTCCTCTCAGGTTTTCGTCTTTTTATTTACACTGTCATCCCACTTTATTTCTTGGTCACCTCCTACTTCTGCTCCATGACAATCTTAGCGCCAACCATGGCTTTTTCCTACTTCAACCTTGCTTGCACATGTCTTATTGGAATACTCGCCCCATTGGCACTTCATGTTTACATCCTTTACGTTTCCAAACCTTTGAAGAAGGAGATCAAGTATCGAGCCGAAATGCGTAAAGTTCTTGACATGGACAGGGATCCTAAAGACGCTCATACCTATGCATTTCAGCTTTTGTTTAACGTAATCTAGTGAAAGCAGGAGTGGACAGGGCTTGGATGTTCAAGTATGGTAGTATCCCCTTCATTCCTTCTTGATGAGTCGATGCTGCGCTATGTTGGCAACTGTACTCTGTTCTTTCAGGTTTATATATATGTGTGTGTGCGCGCGTGTGAATTGTTATTGTATTGGGTTTCCTGTGCTGCAATGTATGGATTTTGTTTTTGCTCGAGTGCTGCTGTATCCGTGTGTTGTCTTCGTTAGTATATTCAAAATCGATTACCTTGTTACAAAATTCATAATTTCTATGTCTCACTTCCATTATAAAATGCGAAGGAACTTGGTGCTCGACCACGACTTGATGACACACTAAACATCTGACCTCGTACCCAAATATGTCTCTTTGCATACTAAACCACCAATATAACTCTTGATACATCTTATTTCTCCTAAGATGCATGGTTTACAGGGTGCTATGAGCTATTTATCAACTCACTGTTCTTTGGAAAACATGCATGGCCTTTGAAGTACAAAATATATTCGCCCCATAATTTAAAACTTGACATTTTGTCCTGCTTAACTTGATTTAGCTTGGTTGCTGACGTATCATCTAACTTTTGATTTATTTTCACTTCTCATGTAAGATTGAGTTTAACTTGACGCTGAGTTAATAATCTCTCATCTTTGATCACGCGAAAATATTTTCCTTAAATTCGATAGACTTTTGACTCAGAGCATCCAACATTTACTTAACCTAGATGATAATCAATAAGACTTTCATAGTTCATTAGTAACTTGATTCATCTTCATTACATCAAGTTTTATTCTTCTTGATGAGAAAATACCTGAGGTTTTTATGATTGGTGTAGGTGAAACATTTCTCCCTCATAGAGATAGTTTTTTCAAATCTATGTTTAGGTGTAGTTTTTCTTATTATTTATCTATATACTTTATATTTCTTTTTTCCTTTTTTAATTATAAAATAAGAAAAATTAACTACTTAAATCTATATTGAAAACTACAAAGTTAAATTCTAACTTATGTTTGACTTTAAGGAAAATAATAGTTTAAACCAGTGTTTAATTCAATCATATATTAACAAAAGCTAATAAATTTAAGGGTAAAGTATAGTAATGGTCACTAAACTTTTTTAAATATTTCATTTAGGTCCCCTAACATTTTAAAACTTGCAATACAGTCCCCCAACATTTATTCCGTTTGCAATATGGTCCCCCAACAGTTACGTCAGGGACCATATTGCAAATGGACTAAATGTTAAGGGACCATATTACAAACGGACTAAATGTTGGGGGATTATATTGCAAGTTTTAAAAGTTTGGAGACTTAAATGAAAGCTTTAGAAAAATTCAGTGACAAGTACTATACTTTACCCTTTATTTTAATCAGTATACATTGAGGTTATCCTTATACGGAAGCTGAACCGGTTTGTCCTTTAAACCTGCAAGCTTGGCAGAGAGGCGAATACAGCGACGGCGTCACGTATTTGTCTTCCCCGCCCATCATTGGCATCGGCACACCTCGTTTCACGGGGCTAACGTAGTCCGGCCGGTAAGTCTTTCCCAATACTCCTTCCACGAGAGGGCTCACTTGGGTGAACTTGAATTGTGTCTCCAAATGTGCAAACGCATCATCAGCCGGCAACTGGTAATTGTGAACCTTGTTTTCATGTTCTCCGATGGTTCTAACTTTCACGTTCAATTCCACCAGCCCTGCAACCGTGACTTTAACGCCGTTGGTTTCATCGGTTCTTTCTACTATCACTTCTCTTTCCTCGCAATCAGTCCTCCATTCGGCGTCTCCTTCCGTGGGGATGTTTACGGCTTCGCCGTCGAATTTTATGGTGAGAGCATCGAAACCGTCGTCCCATTTAGAGACTCTCTTTGCTGCTAGGACTAGAGTGTGAGTGTCGAACATCACCGCCAGGGCTTGCACCCAGGTGTAGTCTCGTGTCCGTCCTTCCGGTCGTGTTCCGATAAATGCGCATTGATTTGGAGATTATCATCTGATACAATGGCGAAGTTTCCTCCCTTGGCTCCATGGAAGTAGATAATAACTCCATCACCGCCAACAAACTTCGGATCATAACACAGCGACCCGTATCCATTACAGTTCGGCTTTCTCCCTGTCAAACAACTTCAATTCATCACCATACATACATTAACATACATACAGACATATGTGTTTAATTATATACTTACATTTGCAGGTGACATCACATTTTCTGCTGCAATCAAAGAAACATCCTTTGACCTTCTTATTCTTTTTGGGCTTCCTTTGAGGGAATTGGGTGGGACATGTGAGTACCTTTCCATTACAAGCTCCTCTTGCTTGGCAATAAACTCTTTCTCGTACCACTACTGCTCGGTGCCAAAACATCATAATGTGTTGAAGCAGCATCATACGGTGCCTTCTTGCTGTTGCCTTTGCCTTTACCTTGCGCATTGATAGCTTCCATGGATATGAAAACTAGGGCAAGTGCCACCAGGAAGAAAGAGCATTTTCTACTGCTTCTATGTTACAGCCTTCACATTGTTTGTCTAGTCCTCAAGGTCATTCTCAGGTTATTCAACCAGCTATCTTCTCCAATTCTACACTGGTTTCTGCTGGGTTTAATCCTCAGAATGGCGCTCAGAGTACGACTTTTCCTCACATTTCATATTCCTCATTTTCTCAGTCATTTGTTGTTGTCAGCACGCTTGCTACGTCTGTTCATGTTCAAGCTTTGACTGTTTCTCTGGCAACCATGATATTCTGGATGATAATGCTTGGTATCCAGATTCAATGGCTACTCACCACTTAACGAATGATATAGCTAATTTGCAAATTGGTACCTCTGCTCCTACAACATGTAAGGTTCAAGTTGGGAATAGTAGTTTGCTGCCAATCAAGTATACTGGGCAGTCTTCTCTTCTTAATAGTTCTAGAGAATTTACTTTAAATAAAGTTTTATTCGTTCCTAACATTAATAAAAAAAACTTTTTTCTGTGTCCAAATTCACTCAGGACAACAGGGTTGATCTTGAGATCCTTCCAGACTCGTGTGTTATGCGTGATTTAGATACACAAAGTTTTGTTACAAAGCTTTGAGGAGAATGGGTTGTATAAGCTTGGCGAGTCTGCTGGTAGTTTTCTGTTAATAGTAATAAAGTTTCTGCCGCTAATAATAATAGGGTAAAATATAGTAATTGTCACTGAACTTTTCTAAAGATTTCATTTAGATCTCCTAACTTTTAAAACTTACAATATGGTCTCTCAAAATTTAGTCTGTTTGCAATATGGTCCCTCAAAATTTAGTCCTTTTGCAATATAGTCCCTGACGTAACTGTTGGAGAACCATATTGCAAATGGACTAAATGTTGGGGGACTGTATTGCAAGTTTTAAAAGTTAGGGGACTTACATGAAAGCTTTAGAAAAGTTCAGTGACCATTACTATACTTTACCCTAAATTTAATCATTGATCTTTTTCATCTCTCCTTATTCATTGCTTTATCTTCTCTTATTTCCCTTCCGGTCTCCCTAGAATTTGTTTTGCATTTGCGTGTCCAAGTTTTTTATTTTCTTTTATTTAATAAGTGATCCCTTTTTCTTGTCAAAATAGAGGATGTTTTTGTCTCATTTTTACAAGTTTAGTGGTCATAGTCATTTGTATATATTGCGTTTGAATTATAATAAAATTAATTATTAATTTATATTACCATTTAATGTTGATTATGTTTATCATTCACTGTCTATATTAATGTTTGTATTTTTATTTTTTCGAGTTAATTAAATTTTCTAACATATTCTTGGCATGATCTATTTTATAAAACGAATTAATTAAAATTCATAATAATTAATTATACATGAACTTTTAGATGAATTCATTAATTTTTTTTATTTAAAATTTATACTCGTTTTGTTTCAAATCATCTCGCACAAAACCAATTATTTTCCCCAATAGTGAGCTTTTTTTTTTTGCCCCCCCAATTCTCCCTTCTTTTCAAGCGCCATTTACACGCAATCGCTAAGAAGCGCAAGATTGTGTATGTATTCCGTTCATATGATCGTAATTTCATTGTTTTGATTGTTGTTGTTTTGCAAGTGAATGAAGTTGCTACAACTTGGGGTCTTAAACGAAACACCCAACTGGTCTTTGAAAGATATGTGGTATAGCAATGGCGAAATGTCAAGTAAGTTGACAGTATGCGGAGAATAAACCTGTATGCACAACATATTGGGGAAAACGGGTTATTTTCCACACGAACGTAGTTTTAAAATTGACATAAAATGTCAAGATTAAACCCACCAAAGGTTGCATAGCGGATAAACCTGTCAAACTATTGAATATTGAAACACAATGGAAAAGAACCGAATAAAAAACAATAAAGGAGAGAACACACCAAATTTACGAGGTTCGACGAGAATATCATCTACTCCTCGGGCACCACACCGGATGATAACTTCACTATATCGCCAATATTACAACAAATGAAATTCTTTGGAATTCCCAAAGTGGAAGAATGAAGAATACAAGAGGAAGAGAGAACTTGTTTTTGGGATGATTTCTAAAGGAAATACTTAGGCCTATTTATAGTTGAGTTTCAAGAACAATATGTTCAAAGTTTGGCCACCTACCAAAGAATTTTCCAATGTGTACAAGTTAGCCACCAAATATGAAATTCACATGTTCAAAGTTTGGCCACCAACCAAGATGAAATTTCCAACTTGTCAACTTAATTTCTAGACAAATCTAACAAATCTCCACCTTGGCTTGAAATTACCAAGCCTACTCAACTTCTTCAACTCCCCAAATTTATAGTGCCTCTAATTGCGCTCACAAGCGCCACACACCCGAAGGTGTTCATACTTTCAGGATGTTAATCAAGTTCAAACAATGATTGAACTTGATTACTGTTACCACATTGGTCATCATATATGCAGTATTTTCTGATGTCGCAATTTTCTGAAGTAGAATCTTTCTTTCTTCAAAGATCTCCCGCACAAAGTGATACCTCACGTCGATATGCTTAGTC